ACAGAGAGAGAGAGAGAGAGAGAGAGAGAGAGAGAGAGAGAGAGAGAGAGAGAGAGAGAGAGAGATTGATTTTACCTCAGAACATCGCATTTTTATATTCAAGAGACCCACTAATCCCTTTTGCTCTTTCTATTTCTTGTGACAGACCTGTGTGATGGCTGTTGTCGTCCCTGACGAGGCTTACATAAGTGTCTGGGGGCCAAAGAATGGATTCCCTGGCGGCCTGAAAGAGTTCTGTGCGCATAAGGTATGAACATTGTTTATGGCATTGTTTGTACGAGAGTACTACTTGTCGTGGGTTTAATGTCGCTTTCAACATTGTGAGTTTTTAAAGAGGATCCTCCCATTTGACATCTATCTCCGACAGAACTGGGACACGATTGTACGACCTAAGCGTACTCCCCCCCCCCAAAAAAAAAATAAAAAAAATAAAAATAATTACCCCCCAACCCCTCCCAAAAATAAATAAAAAATAAACTAAAGCAAATTATTTTTTAAAAAATTAACTTAAAATATCGCTTCCTTGCAATAACAAACGAACAAACACACAAACAAACAAACAAACAAACAAACCAAAAACAAAATATCAAACTAAAACAATGTCATACAAGCAAACGAATGAAAAACAAATCGAAAAAAAACAATAAAAAAACCAACAAACAAGCTCAGGTTCCGGAGGGGCTCTTTTGGGATTTGAACCAGAGTAATCTGTATTAATTTTAAAAAATCAGCCGCTGAGCTAACTTTGCACCTGAATATTGCATAGCCATTTGAATTATGAATGACATAGTATGACATAATACACAATGTGGGTGAAATAAAAAGGAAAGGAAGAATGCGTGGAGGCAGGATTGTCTGATGAAAAGTGAATGAATGAATGAATGAATGAATGAATGAATGAATGAATGAATGAATGAATGAATGAATATTGTATAAGGTTCACCTACCTACCTTCCTACTTATCTATCTGCCATGAATGGTATTTACCTAAACTTTTTCTTATTCATAATAATAATGTATTTTTGATATAAGTTATAGTATGCACTTATGTCTAGTCAAATGAGAGCAGAACTTAAATTAATTTGTTTTAGTTTTCCTTCAACTTCTCAACCTTCAAGTTGATCCAATGACCTGTTGCTGATCTGCTGACTTCTATTTTTAGGACCATTTGATTTTTCTACCACAGGCTGGTGGCTGTGACGTAATGGTTACTCTCATGAGTTCGAATTCCAGATATTCCACGATTGGAAAACAGCGTTTTTGTCTGAGCATGTCAGTCTTTTCATTTGATAAAAAGCAGCCCGCCTTCTAAATGAGTAAACTGGCTTGAAAAGGGGGTAAAACAGTTACAATCATTTAAGATAATTTGCGATTAATTCTTCAGGACGCCAAGCACTTGATCCTCAAGGACATACTCAGTCACGGCAAGGCGAACGGACTGAAAGGCTTTGAACAGGTTAGCTCTCTTTCTCTCTCTCTCTCTCTCTCTTTCTCTCTCTCTCTCTCTCTCTCTCTCTCT